AAGGTGACCTATGTGGAATTGGATATGAGAGATAAGAAGTAAATGAGAGACTTTCCCACACCCACTAAATCAAACAATACTACCAACCAAAAAACTCATTGGCTTCTCAATTTTTAATGATTTGATTTTTCTTTTCTTTTTATTTTTTAATATAATATATATATATATATATATAGCGTTTGAAGGGAAGTCCGGAATGGAAAGTCCAAAGAGGACAATATCTAGTAGTGGTGGATCTAGGTCGTTACAAATGGTATCAGAGCCAGGCTCTAGACGATATGCCAGCCTTCTCGCTATTCCCCGAAGGGGGGTAGACACGAGGCGGTGTGCCAGTAAGGACACTGGCCTCAAAGAGGGGTGGATTTGGGGGTGGTCCCACATCGATTGGAGGAAAGAAAGAGTGTCAGTGAGGACGCTGGGCCCCGAAGAGGGGTGGATTGTGATATCCCACATTGGTTGGGGAGGAGAACAAACCACCATTTATAAGGGCGTGAAAACCTTCCCATAGTAGACGCGTTTTAAAGCCTTGAGGGGAAGCTCGAAAGGGAAAGCCCAAAGAAGACCATATCTGCTAGCGGTGGATCTGGGTCGTTACATATATATATATATATATGAGTGTATAAGTAAGGTCGGATAATTTATCTACCGATATACAAAAACTTAGGTTTAAAGTGAATAATATCATATTATCATAGAAATACGAGAGATTTAGTGATTTTAAAGCGATATAAACGGAATTAATTTGCATGCATGGGAAATGGGAAGGGAGGAGTAGGTTAGATTATATATCACAATCTTGAGCCATATTACCGAGGCTAATGGGGACCCATTCTTCTTCCATCATGGGAGACATACATTTCTTCTTTGTCCTTTCCTTTTTACCCATTACCCTAATTTCTCACACGTCACATCGAGAGAGAGAGTTTTCGGGACGAGACACTTTATGATAGAGAGGAACATGACCGAGAATAAATAATTATACGAGAGAGAGAGAGAGAGAGAGCGGTATTTTTTTCATCGCCCGTTTTGAGGGTTAAAACATAATAACCTCGGTCGGAAGAGGGAGACAGACCCATTAGGGTTTCTCGATTTTTTTTATCACATTATTTTAGGTCTTTCACTTTTGATGGTCGATGAAGAGAATACCTTGCCTTGCTTTTTCTTTCTTTTTTGCTTTCTCTTTCTCTACTTTTCCTTTGTCCGACCAAATTTATAGATTTTAACTCGTTGGCTTTCAACAAATTTCAAGTCTACCAATCATTGAAGAGTGTGAAAGTATTGATATAATTAAATTTTACCATAACCCATCACCTTAAATTTTCGGGTTCATTGTTAATTTAATACTTAATTCCGCTATCAACCCACCTCGTAAAAAAATAAATTACTGCTCTCTTACATTTATCAAATTAGTCTATTCCATTTGACCTCGTCTCGTCAAGTTATCACTCGTGAGTCTAATCAACATGTCACGAAAAATTAGAATCAAATCATCAAAAGCTCGTGAGCGTCACTGAAAAATTGTAAACTTCAATTACGAACTATGCACTAATGCCAAAGTTCGAAGGTCAAAATAGTAATTTAACCTATCGAGAAAAAAAACAAATAAAAAAAATTAAAAGAAGAATGCAAATTTTGATGACTTAGAAAGATTTGTTGAGGAACCGTCCAAACAACAAAAAGCCACCACAAAATTTCCTCCTTTTTTCTTTTATGATCTTTCTCCCATTTACCTTTTCCTTTTCAGATTCTATATCTGATTTTTTTCTCTTTTGTTATTAAATTACAACAATACCCCCACTTTTTTCTGACCATAATACCCCTCTTCCATTCCCTCTATTCTTTTTCTTCTATCATGCAAGGGCTTTATGGGGATAACTCCCTCAAAGCGGATTTATACCCGACACATCTCATTAGCTATACGCACTGCTCTTCTACTTAAACATATTAGTATTGTATGCATCTTACGAATACTCTCATGTTCACTGTTTCAGTGATTCTAGCTAGTTTTGTGATAGCAGGAGCTATAGGTATTGTTTCACTCGTTTCAACTCGTTCAACTCCAATAGCGGATGACGTAGACAAACATTTACTAAAAACAAACATGTTCTAAGCCTTGCCCTAAATATTTATATGTTTTGGTGATGAAAAAAACATGGTATTGTGAAGGGCATTATTGTCTTTTCACTCAACCCCATTAAAGCTTCTTCGTTGTTGTTGTTGGTGTTCTTCTTTTGTTGAAGCTTCTTCACCCTCTTCTCTCTCCTCGGTTTCTCTGTGTTCCTTCATAGGAATTGTTGCTGGTTAATGGATATTGAACCCTTGTGGGGTGTTGGGGGGTGGTTTCTTGTCTTAAATTGTATGGCAACTGCTAAACCAAGCCAATCTTCATCATCTCACTTTCTCCTTTTCCTTCTTTTCTTTTCCTTCCTCCTCCTTCTAACCCTCATTTCCTCTCCTCCTCCTCCTCTTTCGCCTCGTTCCATGGCGGCCGACACCCACTGCCGTCTCTCTACCGCCACCTCCACCGCCTTCCATCCGAAGAAATCTCGACCTCGATCCTCTCGTGCCACGGCTGGAGAGTTCGGAGCCGAAGCACATGAAGTTCCCAGTGGTCCAAACCCTATATCCAACTAATGGAATGACATAAAAAAAAAGAACACAAAAAGAAACATTTGGTGAGGTTTGATGTTTTTTGGGTTTGTTCAATTGTCGCTGCTGATGCTGTTTTTGTTGTTTTGTTTTTTCCTTTTTTGTTGGGTTATTTTAATTGTATAGTGACAGAGATACTGCAGCGTTCTTCTTCTTCTTCTTCTTCTTGGTTTTCTTTTGTATGTAATAGCCCTCTATTTCTTGCATATATAGAAGGTCATGGTTTGGATATTATTTGAGTTTAATTTCATATAATCTTTGCATTTTAATGACGGGTTTCATTTCAAAATAACTAAACGGGGTTCGTATTCAAATTTATCATAATCAACCGTTTGAACCTTGTCGAATCGGAATCAACCACTCCACGGACATCGATAAGCAACTTTCGTAATAGGTATAGATTCATTCTTCGTACATGGTCCAATTTCACAACTGTGAACAGGTTGGTTAGAAAGTTGGTCATGTTTGGTTAGACGGGATTTGACAAAGAAAGAGAGCGCTCGATCGAAGCAACAGTTAACCCTAGTTTTTTATACGTCAATCATATTGGTAAGATAGAATTTGAGAAAGAAAAAGAGAGCCCTCCACCGAAACAATGGTTAACCCTAGCTTTTCATACGTAAGTCATGTTTGGTATGACAGAATTTGAGAAAGAAAAGAAAGCGCTCGACCGAAACAACTGTTAACCCTAATTTATTATACGTCAATCATATTTGGTAAGACGGAATTTAAGAAGGAAAAGAGAGCGCTCGACCATAACAAATTGTTTAAACAAATAGTAAACAATATGTTAATTAGAGCATATAATATAGAAATGTGAAAAGTTTTGTAAAGAATAAGAAAGCAGCGAAGGAGAAGAGCAGCAGCACTGACATAGAGAGGACACCTTTTGTTTTTGCCTTAGAAATAATTTGAACAGCTTTGGGGACTTTGGCTTTTGTCCTCTCCCTAACACATTATCCAATAAAGTTCATTATTGATACCACAATCAATAATATATATATATATATATATATATATGTATATATATATATATATATATATATATAATTTTTATATTAAGCCTATGATTTGATAATAATGAGGATATCATTTTACTGTTCTTAAAAACTTTAACCATAACGTTGATTATAATCTTATCTAATTTTTATACATTTTTTAAATGAATTAAATTAGAACTATAACTTACAACGTTATGTTCTCACTATAGGAGAGAATCTCAACTGTCATCAGGAGAAAATTGCAAGGAAATCACGGTATACAAAGCTAGCGGTGGTGATTTGTCGAAAAAACGAGCGATAGTTTGACGAAGTTTCAAATAGAGAATCACCTTGAAAGATAGCTTCAAATTTGAATTTCGAATCGAAAGAAGGAACAAACTTGGACAGGTTTCAAATTGACCTTCATACGCCATGAACCATGAGATTCTCGGCCGTTTCACTCGAGTTGAAGCGATTCCTTGAGTCGGGTCAAAACTCAATTGGAAATCTCATCAAATTAATCCAGTGATTTTTTTTTTAATTATTAAAATTTAGAGTGTAAATAACTCAATTTAATTGATAAAAAAATTTATATGAATCGAGTTTGATTGATCGACCCGTGATTCGAACCCAAGACTCCACCGGCGGGAGTTATGGGGAAAATTGTGACCGACTGGAGAGGAGTTGAACAGGCCTGAACCTGGGCCTGATCCACGTGGAATAAATGGTCCACTTGGGTCGGAACCACTTGAATTAAGATGACCCGACCGGACCATGCTTATCCATAACAACTAAATTGAAATAAAATCAGGTCAAGGTCAACCTAAATGTTGACTTTGACTGGTCAAAAGTCAAAGAGTCAAATCTCTCTCTCTCTCTCTCTCTCTCTCTTTTTTTTTTTTTTTTAAATCTAAACCCAAACTAAATTGAGAAATTTTATAATTTAATCTATAAGATAATAATAATAAGGGAAAAAAAAAAGTCAAAATTGAGCCTAAAATGGCTCATAAATCTCTCTCTATTTCTGTCTCCCCTCCTCTATGTGAGAGCTGTTTTTATTTGAAGGCAATAATTTAGGGTTTCTTTTTTTAACTCTCGTTTCCATTGTTCTTCTCTTTTCCTTGTCCCTAACTTCCTCTTTCAAAGCCTGCATTTTGCAGTTCATCAATTGATTGATTGTTTGTTTAGGCCAAAAGAGCCATTTTTTAGCCGTTTCGCGCCATTTTCGAGTCATTTTTGGAGCGTTTTCTTTGAAATTGATATCGAGAGAAGAGAAATGAAAAACCCCATTTGGGTTTTTGTTGAAAAGAAGGGAATTTTTAGGGAAAAAATAGAGATTTGATGAAAAAAAAGGGGAAAAGAAGAAGAAAAATGAGTTGCTTTCCATGTTTTTGGTATCGTGGGAAAGCAACGAGAAGAACAAAGAGTGATCGAAGGGAACTGTCTGTTTCGTTGCATTCTCGTAGTCTTAAACAACAACATCATCATCATCATGCTCCTCTTCCTCCGCCTCCTCCACGCTCTACGCCTGCAGGTCATTTTTCACTTCTCCCTTTCTTTTCTTTACATTTTTCTTTTTTTTTTTTTTAGAAATATTTCGATTAGGGTTTGGATAAACATTGAAAATCGAGACGAAAAAGCATTCTAACCCAACCCCGTTAACGGAAATAGGGTATAGAGATTGGAAATCTCGACCCCATTGTCATTCTCTGATGTATGAATGGTTGTAGATCATATTATAAGTTTAGATTCCAAGCGTTTAAAAAGTTTCTTTTCACTTTCATAAACTTTTAATTCAAGATTTTTCTCATTTTTTAGGAAAATTTCGAACAGGGTTTCGATAGAGATTGGAAATCGAGATGGAAAAGCATCCCAACCCAACCCTGTTAACGCAAATAGGGTATAAAGATCAAAATTCTCGACCCCATTATCATTCTCTAATGTATGAATGATCATAGATCATATTATAAGTTTTTCTAACCGTTTAAAAAGTTTCTTTTCACCTTCATAAACTTTTGATTCTAATATTAATATGCTCTTTCTTTTCTTAAGATTTTTCTCTTTTTTTTAGAAAAAATTCGAATAGGGTTTCCATAGAGATTGAAAATTGAGACGGAAAAGCATCCCAACCTAACCCCGTTAACAGAAATAGGGTATAAAGATTGAAATTCTCGACCCCATTATCATTTTTTGATGTATGAATGGTCGTAGATCACATTATAGATTTAGGCTAAAGTTTCTATTTACCTTCATAAACTTTTGACTCTAATATTAATAAGTTCCCGTGTCACGTAACGAAATCAATTCATAATCAAACTCGAAAGCTCATTGTTTGTGTATTTTTTTACAAATGCATGAACAGAAAATCCAAAAGGAAACCAGGTGCAAAAGGAAGCAGAGAAAGATATTGAGATTGGGGAAAAGAATAACATTCAAGCACAAACCTTTACATTTAGAGAGCTCGCCACGGCCACAAAGAATTTCCGTCGAGAATGTCTCATCGGCGAGGGAGGGTTCGGGAGAGTTTACAAAGGCAAACTCGATAAAACTAACCTGGTAACGTCTTCACCCGTCACCTGTTTCTTCCCGTTTCATAACCATCTTGTTTTTAAAATGCTCGTCTACTCGTTGAGTTTCGTGAATTGAACTAATTTATGAGACGAACGCGGGAGGAAATATACGATTGGTTTGTTCGATAACCCTAATGAATGTGTGACATGCCACAGGTTATAGCAGTGAAGCAGCTAGATAGAAATGGAATGCAAGGGAACAAAGAGTTTCTTGTGGAGGTTTTGATGCTAAGCCTTTTGCACCATCAAAACCTTGTCAATCTCATTGGCTATTGTGCAGATGGTGATCAAAGACTCTTAGTCTATGAGTACATGCCTTTGGGATCCCTCGAAGATCATCTTCTTGGCAAGTATCCAAAAACGAGTTTAAAATTTTCATATTTTCAGGCTAATTTTTCCGTCCTTTAAGTTTTCAAGATTAACGTGAAATCCCATGTCGGTTAGAGAGGAGAACGAAACATTCTTTATAAGGGTGTGGAAACCTCTCCTTAATAGACCAATTTTAAAAACCTTGAGAGGAACTCCGAAGGGAAGAACACAAAGAGGACAATATGTTTTATCAGTGGACTTGGGTTGTTACAATTAAGAAGGGTGACGTCAAACGCTACACCCTGAAAGCCGCACAAACACAAATTTCGTTATTAATGTGAGATCCCATATCGGTTGGAGAGGAGAACGAAACATTCTTTATAAGGGTGTAGAAACCTCTCCTTAGTAGACCCATTTTAAAAATCTTGAGAAAGTCCGAAAAGGAAATCCAAAGAGGGCAATATCTGTTAGCGGTGGGCTTGGGTTCTTACAATTAAGAAGGGTGACGTCAAACACCACACCCTAGAAAGCCCAAAACATGTCGTAACCCACAAACACATGTTTTCGTTGGTGCATAAGCTAAACTTACCTGCCGCGTTTCAACGCTGTTATGTAGTGTCTCAACGTTGTATTCTTTGTATTCCTCAATTTCGTACCTTTTTGCCCATATGGTCTATTTTCTCGATAATCGAAACCGTACTTTAAATGAACAGATACCACACGTGAAATGTTAGCTATGAATAAGCTTTATAAATAGCTCACAAAGATGGGCATTGATTGTATATTTGTTTGATATGACATTATAGACGTTCCAGCTGATACAAAGGCATTGGATTGGGCAACAAGGTTGAAAGTAGCGTTGGGAGCAGCAAAAGGATTAGAATACTTGCACGACAAAGCCAACCCACCAGTGATATACAGAGATTTGAAGGCATCAAACATTCTATTAGACAATGATTTCAATGCAAAGCTGTCTGATTTTGGTCTCGCAAAGCTCGGGCCTGTCGGGGACAACTCCCATGTTTCCTCCAGAATTATGGGAACCTACGGATATTGTGCTCCCGAGTATCAAAAAACCGGCCAGCTCACGCTCAAATCCGACGTCTACAGCTTTGGCGTCGTCTTGTTGGAGCTCATCACCGGGCAGAGAGTCATTGACAACGCTCGTCCAGTTAAACAGCAAAATTTGGTCGCTTGGGTGAGTCGAAATTGTTATGGTATGATATTGTCCACTTTGAACATAAGCTCTCGTGACTTTACTTTGGGTTTTCCCAAAATGTCTCGTACTAATGAAAATGTATTCCTTACTTATAAACTCATGATCATTCCCTAAATTACCCAACGTGGGACTCCCTCCCAACAATCCTCCCCTCGAACAAAGTACACTATAGAGCCTCCCCCGAGGCCTATGGAGCCCTCAAACAGCCTCCCCTTAATCGAGGCTTGACTCTTTCTCTGGAGTTCTCAAACAAAATACACTCTTTGTTCGATACTTAAGTCACTTTTGACTACACCTTCGAGGCTCGTAACTTTTTTGTTCGACATTTGAGAATTCTATTGACATAGCTAAGTTAAGGGCATAGGTCTAATACCATGTTAGAAATCACGACTCTCCACAATGATATGATATGATATTGTCCACTTTGAGCATAAGCTCTCGTGACTTTACTTTGAGCTTTCCCAAAATGTCCCATACCAATGAAAATGCATTCTTTACTTATAAACCCATGATCATTCCCTAAATTAATCAATATGGGACTTCCTCCCAACAATCCACCCTTGAAACGAAGTACACTTTAGAGCCTCCCTCAAGGCCTATGGAGCCCTCGAACAGCCTCCCCTTAATCAAAGCTCGACCCTTTCTCTAGAGTCCTCGAACAAGTACACTGTTTGTTAAACACTGAGTCACTTTTGACTACACCTTCAAGTCTCACAACTTCTGTTCAACATTTGAGAATTTTATTAACACGGTTAAGTTAAGATGACTCTAATACCATATTAGAAATCACCGTTCTCCACAATAATATGATAGTGTTACTCTGATCATAAGTTCTGTAAATAACGTGATACAGGTATTTATAATATTAAAATGGATAAAAAAAAGTTGAATTTTTTCCTACATTTAGGCATACCCAATATTCAAGGAACCAGCGAGATTCAAGGAGCTGGCCGATCCTCTTCTCGGGGGAGATTTCCCAGTGAGGGCTTTGAACCAAGCAGTCGCGGTAGCCGCCATGTGCCTGCACGAGGAGGCAGCGGCACGCCCGTTGATCAGCGACGTCGTGACGGCTCTCAGCTTCTTGGGCGCAGAAGCCACGCAATCATCGCCATCGTCGTATGGCGATGTCCCCTCACCACTTAATGATCACAGTCCAATCAACCCATCCAAACCCAAACCCAAACCCAGAGACTATCTTCACGACGACAACGAAACGGCCGAGGCGCGCCAACGAGCGGTGGCCGAAGCCATCGAATGGGGCTCCTCCTCCAGGCAAAACGCCGCCGCTTCGCGCCCCCAAAGTTGTTCTTCCTTGTGAATTTAATAAACCCACGCTCTCATTCCATATGTATATTAAATTCCAATTATGTTACAATATACTAATTAATAATAGTTTTAAATTATTGTTATTATTATTTATTTAACGGTCAAAATATGTTTTTATTTATTTGAAGGAAAGTTGGTGGGTACTTTTTTTCAAACAAAATATAAATATATTTTTATTAATTTTACCTATTATAAAAATACTATATTAAATTATTCGATGCATAAACAATAATTTATTGCTTAAAGTATATATTTACTTAATTCTTTTCGTAAGAATAAATAAATTAATATAAGTACTTAATTGAAAAGAACTTCAAAAAGAAAAAAAAAATTGATCGAATATATTAATTTAAATTAATTCATTTTAATTTGTTTAATTATTTTATTTATGGATATTTTAGTTATCATAATGATCATTCAATTATTAATTATTAATTATATTATATTTTAGTATATTAATTAAACTATATAATTAATTAAAAATTAAAATATTACCGAATCTTTATGTCATATTACCTAAAAGTATGCCTTCCCTAAGACTTTTTAAAAGGATGAAAAAAAGTGAAATAGAATAATATGTTCGAGAAAGGCGTAGACAGATCCAAATAATCATACGTGTTTTTAATATATTCATTTGATTTAAAACTTAGACCCAAAAGGTCACGCCCTAAATCAACAAAGTTCAATCTCGAGAGGGTTAAAGTCAAAGTCAACACAAATCGAAAGGGTCGGACCTAAAGCTATGTAAGTGCAAGCCCAGAGAGATTTTCAAATAAGAAAATTGAGAAATAAAAAATAAAAAAAAATTGAAAATATTATCAGATGTTATAAAATTGGACATTTAATTTTATGTTTTTTTTTTTTTTGGAGAATGGTTAAATTATTACAAATACAATTATAAATTAGAAAGTAAAAAAATTTAAATGGTTAAAAATCTAAAAGAATTTAGGATTAAATTGTTAAAATAAAAGTGGTTTTTAAATATATTTTAATTAATTTTAGGCCATTGAAACTGAAATAAATTTTGATGGTACATTCTAGAAGACATAGAATCAATTCCAATGGTTGAGAACACCTTTCCAACTATAAAAGCGCTTCCACCCAACAAATTTGTTGTCAAGTTCTGCTATTTCTAGCGAAGCCATCGCCTCTAATTCCCTACCTTGCTCAGGTTCGTCTCTTTCTTTGCGATCTGTTTTGTGATTCTTTTCTATTGGGAACTGCATTTCTTGTTTTCTAGTTCTTGTGCAATTGTTTCTGTTTTTGTTTTTTTTTTCCATCATTTGGATTCCTCGTGTTTGAATCTGAGTCCGGTTTTCTGCGATGGAATTCTCTAGAACATTATCCTTCTATGGTTGCAATGCGGATCTTTTCTTGTTTATGCTCTGTATTTTGGATTGAAAGAAGCCTGTGACGTTCCAATAATTTTCAGTTTTTGTGTCTATTGGTAATGTGCGTGGAGATCTGGCTTGATGCGTTACTTTTATGGTGTTTTGTTTTGTGATTTCACTCGCTACAGATTATATTGTTCTAAGATTGTGGAGGCGTTCTTGAATCCTCTATCCTGGAACAAAGAAAGAATCCTTGTGTATTTTTCAATGATATGGGGTATTTGGCAAGAGAGATCTGCTAATTTTGTAGGATTTGTAATTTGTTGGATCTGAATAAGTTTCTCCGTTCGATAACAGTTTTGTTTTGTTTTTTCTTTTTTGTGGAAAATTAAGCTTATAAACACTTTATAAACCTTTGAATTTCTCTGTGAAGCAATCTACTTGCCAACAATGTTATTAAAATCCATGTTAATTTTGTAATTTTGCTAAGAATTCGAATCTTGTACGAAGATCATTATAAAGAATCGTGAGAAAATAAGCACATTTTTTCAAAAACAAAAAATCCAATGTTTATCAACAGGGTCTTAGTTGAGGACATTGTTTATACTATTTGTTGGTGTTTTGTCTCCTTTGTGAATAGTTTAGATTTGATTGTTTGCTGTGTGGGATGATATTGATGTGCGTTTTCTTTTTCTTGATATCGAACCTTATTTTTTTCCATTGTGATTTGTGTAGGTCATCTGTTTCTTATTATCAGTGATTTTCCTTCCTTGAGCAATTGAAGATAATAAGAATAACTATTAATCAAACTTTTGAGTCATGGCTGAGGTAATGAAGGCTCACACCTTTTAATTTGTTCAATTTCCTCTTGTGTTGTTGTTTGGAAGCTGATTCGTCTATATTTTCTTTGAAATTATGGAATCTATTGCAGGAAGGTCACAAGGTCACTTTGAATGTTTATGACTTGAGCCAAGGTCTAGCCCGGCAGCTTTCCACCGCATTCCTCGGGAGACCAATCGAGGCCATATGGTAAGTCATTGGTATAGCCTATTTAATATTGAATCCAAATGTTTGTGCTTTGTGACGGTGCAAATGATTAGTATTTGGAAGCTATAGTGTGATGAGTTTTTTAGATATCTTAAGAACATGCCTCATGTGGGCTCCCTTTGATATTTGTTTTATTTTGTGTGTTCGGTTTCGAAAACTATGCTTGGTGAATGGTTTTCAATAGCCAAATTCCATTAACGAAAACAAGTTTTTTAAAGCTACCCTTTTTAGTTTACAAAAAATTTCTTGGATCTTGTATAGTGCTTGAAGTATTGGGTTGAAAATTGTTGAGTGTTTGAAAAAAGTGTTTTTAAGTTCCGAAAAGGGATTTAAGCACTTAGAAAGTCATTTTAGAGTTCAGGGTTCTGATTCGATAACTAACTTACTATACTTTGGTCAAATTTCTAATTTGTGACAGGCACACAGGAATAGTTGTGTATGGCAATGAATATTATTTTGGTGGAGGTATTCAACATGATCCTGCTGGAAGAACTCCATATGGAAAACCGATGCGATCGATAGATTTAGGAACGACACACATTCCCAAGGACGTTTTCGAGATTTACTTGCAGGATATCAGCCCTCGGTACACAGCCGAGACCTATAGTTTACTCTCACATAACTGCAACAACTTCAGTAATGAAGTTGCACAGTTTTTAGTTGGTGCAACCATTCCTGATTACATTCTTGACCTCCCTAACATAGTTATGAGCAGTCCCATGGGCGCCCTCATATGTATGTCATTTTAGCAACCATGCTTTGACTTTTCATTAGTTGGGTCAAGTAAATTCTTAATGAACATGATGTCTTCTCCAGTGCCCATGATTCAGAACCTGGAAACTACACTGAAGTCAGGCGGCGTTCCGAAGACCCCACAGTTCAATCCTGCTGCAGCTAACGTCACTAGATCATCACCGTCGGGGTCAACAAATAGCTCTAGTACTCCAGTGGCTGTCAAAGTAAGGTCAGAGGAAGATGATGCCAAGCCACCTGAGAAGACAACGCCTGCAGCAGCACCGCAGAAATCGGACGCGAACGATGTTGCAGACCCACTCGGGGATGTTCGTAGCAAGGTGCAGGAAGAGATCGGCCAAGAATTTGCAGCAATCATGGCGACGGGGACTCTGCGGGCGAGTGAAGCAGCAGCATTGGCAACAAAAAGAGTGATGCAGAAGTATGGGCATGCTACACTATCTCAAGGCTAGTTTTAATATTAAAAAACGATGCGATATTAATGATAGCTGTAGAGGATGGAGTGGTGTAGGAGAGTAACTTGTATGGGATGTCTTTCTTTGTATGAGGGAAGAATTAAGTTGACTGACTATGGTTGAATTCAGAATGCTTTAGAAAGAGCATACATATCTTCTGTTACGGATTGAATTACTAAACTTCAATGGAAGTCAAGATTTTTTTAAAAAAAGAAAAATGCTTTATTTCGAGCCATTTTAATAGAAAAATCAACTGGTTCAAATCTTAGTGGTGGATTAATTTTAATATTTTTTATTTGATATTTTATTTAGATTTTTTAACATGATTAGGGATTAATTTTGTAACGGCTCAGATCCAAATGTAAGGAAAGGTTTCCATAGTGATTTGTCCTTCCCAACCAATATAAAATATCACAATTTCAACCGGTTGAAATCCTAACGGTAAATAACTTTTAATATTTTTTTCTCAATATTTTATTTGGAGTTTTGAATGTGTGTTAAGCAAATAAATATAAAATAATTAACTATTCAGTAGCAGCACAATAAATATTCTGCAGCACATTGAAATCTAAGTTCAAATCCTAACTTTTAATGTTTTTGTTTTTTTCTTGATATTTTATATGGGGTTTTGGAGCGTGTGACTCAAATGACGGGATACTCTCATGTATGATTTATTTGAGACTTCCAGAAATTACTACGACCCTAACCCAATTAACGAGCGAGGAAAAATCGGTTGTTTGTAGCAAAGCTGCAATAGGAGCTCTATAAAGCTAAAGGAAAGAACGATGAAAACATCCTGTTAATAGTGTCGTTAAACTTAATGGTGTATTAGTGACACCTCGGGAAAAGGACTAGTTTGTGTGCAAATATAAAATGACAAAGTGATCACCTATGGTTCTTCATGGTCGAATAAATACAAATGCAACTACCTAATTCACGATTTAGAGTTACAACTACAGTGCTTGTGCTAAAGATTTGGTGGTATTATTTATTTGGAAAGAATAAAAATATTTACCGACCACAAAAGCTTAAGGCAGATAAAATGGTTTGAATTAGTGAAAGACTGACGTAGAAATCAAGACAACTCAGACGTCCTCCCGAGCTCTTTTATTTATTTATTTTTTTAAAAAAAAAATAAAAAATAGGGGTGGAGGGCACGTGGATTTGACGAATAAATAGATTAGTAATGTGAATGTGTAAATATAGATTCGAGATGAACTCAATCATATCCCTTGAACCCTCAAACGGCGTCCTGCTTTCTCAGCGGCGACACTGTGGCAACCATATGAGTGCCGCATGTGTCTCTTTTCCTGTTTTTCATTTAATTTATTTCCTAATTGTCTTTTCCTTTACCTTTTCTGAAGCTTCCCTTCAATTCAATCATGGCGATGATCCTGAAAACGCCA